CCTGCCCTCAAGGAACATATATTCTATTGGGGTAATACACTATATTCCCAGAGAATTATAAGATATATACATATATATATATATATAATAAAAAAATACAAGGTGAGTGTAATCTGCATAATTTTTTATCTCGCACATATAAAAAGATCACAGATCTACTGAAGTATAACTAATCAGATCATAATTAATACAATTATAATTAATCAGTGTGAGATTATATCCTTTAACATCTGAAAATGGAGTGTTAGTTAACTAAATAACTTCAGTTAAAAGTGGCACAGTAGAAAAAATTCTGGACTTCTTAGAAGCCCTGAGTTGGAGTCTTATCTCTTCCATTTACTAGTTGTATGATATTGTAGATGTCACTTGACCTCTATTTTTCCTCAGTTTCTTCATCTGTAAAAAGAGGATAATAATGCTTGAAGTGAAAGTGCTTTATAATCTGGAAAGCACTCTGTATACATAAAATAATTTTTTTTTCTTATAAACTAGTTTTTGGCAGCTGAAGCAGGTAGGTCGTGCAGTGGATAGAGTACCAGGCCTGGACTCAGGAAGACCTGAGTTCAAATGTGACCTCAGACATTATTGGCTATGTGATCCTGGGCAAGTCATTTAACCCTATTTGCCTCAGTTTCCTCATCTGTAAAATGAGCTGGAGAAGGAAATGATAAACTACTCCAGTATCTTAGCCAAGAAAACCCCATGTAGGGTCATGAAGAGTTCAAATATGACTGAAGAACAACAAAAGTTTTTAGCATGGGTTTTTTCAAGCATCTTCCTAGTTCAGCCTTCCTTAGTACTTTTATTGATGGTTTTGTTTGACCTTTTAAAAGATCCAAGGTAAAACTGGATATGATGGCAGAATTTCCATACAGCATAGACCTAACTTACCCTGTTCAGCCTTTGGTGGATTTTAGATTTATTTGCCAGTGGTTATATCTCTGCCTCACTTAAATCCACTTGCACTCGAAAGTCAAGATATCACCCTTGTGATGTCATTGGTCCTCTTCAAGAATTAAAGGCCAACAACAACAATCCCTCATTGAATATTGGATCATTTATACAGCACCTAGGATGTATCAGGCACTGTGCTAGATACTGAGAATACAAAGACAAAAATGAAACCCTTCTGCCCTTAAGGAGTTTAAAATTTAGCCAGGGAACATAATGTGTGTGTGTGTGTGTGTGTGTGTGTGTGTGTGTGTGTGTGTGTGTATAAATATATGTGTATAAAGTAGATACAAGGTAATAGAGGAGGGGGAGAAAAACACCAGTTGGGGGTATCAGCAAAGGCTTTCTCTAGAAAGTAACATTTGAGATGACCCTTGGAGGAAACTTGAGATTCTAAAAGGCAGAAGTGAGGAAGTAGGAAATTCTAGGAAATTCCACATGTAATAAGGCTGGAAAGTTAATCTGGAGCAAGGTTTTGAAGAACTTTAAATGTTACACAAAAGAATATGTATTTGATCCTGTAAGTAATAGGGAGCCATTGAAGTTTAGTGAATAGGGGAGTGAAAAAGACAGACCTGCACTTCAGGAAAATCACTTGGGTAATTTTACAGAGCATGTATTTGACTAAGGAGAGACATGAGGCAGGGAGATGAATTAGGAGGATATTTCAATAGTCCTGAGAAGTCATGAGGATGATTAATTTGGGATAGTGAGCTATATGAGAAGGGGACATACATGAGAGATGGTGTAATAATAATAATTAGCTAACATTTATGTAGTGATTACTACGTGCCAGTACTTTGCTAAGTGTAGGTACTATTATTATCCCCATTTGACAGATGAGTAAACTGAGCCAAACAGAGGTTAAGTGACTTGCCCAGGGTCACACAGCTAGAAAGTATCCAAGTCCAGATTTTCACTCAAGGCTTCTTGACTTTAGATATGGAGCTCAGTCTACTATGCTACCTAACTGCCCTAAGTATAAGTAGAAATGATGAAATTTGGCAAATGACTGAATATATGTGGTGAGTGAGTCTAAGGAGTCAAGAATGACAGTGAGGTTGAAAACATGGGTAACTGGAAGAATGGTGGTGTCACAAAAGAATAAAGATGGTTAACAAACAGGTAGATTTAGAGGGGAAAATGATGAGTTCTGCCTATTGAGTTTGAGATACCCATTGCTTATCTAGTTAGAAATATCTAGGAGGTAGTTGAAGTTGTACCCCCAGGTCTCAGAAAAGACTTCTTTAAGAAATGTAGATCTGGGACTTGCCAACATAGACATATTCATTCAACCCATGGGAGCTGATAAGTCACCAAGAGAGAAAACCTAGAGAGAGAAGATCAGAGCCCAGAACAGAGTCTTGGGCTATACCCACAATTAAAGGCTGATTATGGGTGATGATCCAGCAAAAGAGATTTAAAAAATGTGATCAGAAAGGTAGAAGAACCAAGAGAGAAAACAGTATCACAGAGGAGAAGGTGGTCAACCATGTCCAATGCTTTAGAGATATTGAGGAGGAGGAGGAGGATGAGAAAAAGTCATCGGCTTTGGCATTCAGGAGATCATTGGTCATTGTAGCTGGCCAAGAATGAAGTTCCGTGGGAAATGCTTGCTCCCACAATGCCATTTATAATTCTCTTTCTCTACAGGCTACCCTTAATCATTCTATGATAATTCACCTTCCCCCAGAGAAGGAGATATTGCTATCAAAACTGTTCTGAAACCCTAAGGCAAGGATCCTTAACCAATGAGCAGCAAAGCCTTAACCTGATAGAACCATAGACCTGTTAATATCAGCGCAGGCTACTCTGTCACCATTCCTCTCAGACATGTCCCCTCTTTATAGTTTTCCAGGAGTCCCTGCAGAAAGGAACTTCCAGGGGAAATTTTGGGTAATGTTTCCACAGACAAGAGTCCATCTGGAGGGGCTTTATTGTTTTTGTTGCTCCATTTCGCACACACCCCCACCCATCCTGACCACTTTTAATTTAACTGCCAAAACTCCACACCCTGGAGCCTTCTTATCCCAATCTCAAGACTTCGGGGAAATGAGAAATGCTTTCTTGATCATTCAATTCAACAAGTATCTATGTAACACCTATCATGTGCCGGGCACTGTTGGGTATCAGAAATACCTTAAGTACTATATAATCTAATGGGAGAGGAGGAGAGAGAAGAGTTAGGATGTACACCTAAATAAGAAAAAGATAGAAAGAAATTGAGGCATAGAAATCCAGACATAGGACACTAGGAAAGTTAGAAGTGGGAAAGAGAGAATACTTTCAGCATAGAGGAGGTGGCACCCAAGTGGGGCCTCAAAAAGGAAGCCTCCAGAGTTCTCTACACATACCCAGATTTACCCCAAAGCTCAGCTTAAAAGTACTCCCAGCCTGTTGCTGCTCTCTGCAATAGCCCCTTTCATTCAATTGTCCACTCAGCCAGCATTTAATGGTAATAATAGCTTACATTTATATAGCACCTACTATATGCCAGGCATTGTGCTAAGAGCTTTATAAATATATTTTTATCATCACAACAACCCTGGAAGGCAGGAATTATATTATTATCCCCACTTTGCAGATAAGAAAACAAGTAAACAGATTACTTGACCTAGTAAGTATCTGAGGATAAATTTAAACTCAGGTCTTTCTGACTCCAGGCCCAGGACTCTATCCTCTGCACCAAATACTATACTAGGCATAGGATATACAAAGAGAAAAGTGAAGCAATTCCTTCCCCCAAGGAGCTTACAATCTAGCCAGGGAAACTATATGTATATGTGTATATGTATAAATACACACACAATATGTATACATGCTATATATTGTATACATGTGTATACAATCTAGGTGTGAGGTGAGGGGAGTTGGGGTAAAGGATAAGGAGGAGCTTCATGTAGAAAATGCTACTTGAGCTGAATCTTGAAGGAAATAAAAGATTCCCAGAGTAGAAAGGAAGGGGAGAGAATATTCCAGTGACAGGGAGGTGGCCAGTTTAAAGGCATGAAGATGGAATTTCATTAGGTTCCCAGAAGGATTTCAACAGATTGAGGTGGGGAGGAAATGCATTTCAGGTACAGGCTCCTTACAGTACAGTTTAGGTTAAGACAATAGACGTTTATTTCATGGAGGGAGGAGGATGGACAATAAAGAGAAACAAGATCTTAGGGTTTAGAGCTGATTGGAACATAAGAAGTAATCTAGTACAACTACCTCATTTTACAGATAAGAAAACTGAGGCCCAGAGATGTTGTTACTGGTCTAAGTCACACAATAGTGGAGCCTGGAGTCAGGCCCAGACCCTCTGGTTACCGAGCCAATGATCTTTCCACCATGTCCCAACCTCAATTTTTTCTTGGCCCTTGTCAGCTACTCTTTCCTCCATGATGCTTTCCCTGAACAACATGCTTCCCCACCCCCCGAAGGTAGAAATGACCTTGTTCTCAGATTTCTCATAGTATGACTGGATTTTTCCTGCATACTCTCATGCTCTTCCTCGCGTCCCAGTTACTTGTGTGCTTTTCCTTTGCCCCAGTGCATGCAATTATAAGGTCTCTGAAGACAGAGTAACTTAGTATTGATTTGTATACCCAAGTGCCTGGTCTAGCACTTGAACGTGGTAGATACTTTAGATGTTTGTTGAACGAATGAATTGCATTGCCTTGGAAAATGGAGAGATCCAGTACACAGAAGCCTCTTAGAGTGAATCATGTGAGGGTTGGAACAAGATCCCCAGTTTGGTAAGGGACTAAGGGATGTTTTCAGGGAGCCCTGCTGCAGCAAGTCATTAACAGCATCTGAAACATAGAAAGGAAGAAGCTTCCACTTCAGCTTGGGCAACTAGGCTATGAATCTTTCTGAGGTTAAGTCCTTGCGTTGTTTAGTGACAGTATTATCTAAAGCCTGCTCTCTGCACCCTGATTCCAGAGTACAGATTGTTTTTAAGGCTTTAGAAATTATGTAAAGTATGTTGCCTGGTTCTTTAAGCAGCGAATGAACTTGGAACCACTTGCCCTACTAACTTCCCTTTTTGTCTGTCTCCACAGAGCAGTGCTCAGCATGGCCGTCATGCCAAGACTTCTCTTCTTCCTCCTTTGTGCCATCAAGGAAGCAATCCCTTACAGTGCTCACTGGAAGCCCACTTGGCCAGCTTACCGAGTCCCCATCATCTTGCCCCAATCCACCCACAATTTAGACAAGCCAGAGTTTGTTGCTGAAGCCAAATTGGAAGTGTCATCTTCCTGTGGGCCCCAATGCCACAAGGGTTCACCTCTGCCAACATATGAAGAAGCCAAGCAATACTTGTCTTATGAAACACTCTATGCCAATGGCAGCCGCACAGAGACGGAGGTTGGCATTTACGTACAGCGAACTGAGACAGAGTCCAGGGGCCGGTCTCGAATGAAGCGGCAGATTTATGGTTATGACAGCAGGTTCAGCATCTTTGGCAAGGATTTCTTGCTGAACTATCCGTTCTCAACATCTGTGAAGCTGTCAACTGGCTGCACTGGAACCCTGGTAGCTGAGAAACATGTCCTCACCGCTGCCCACTGTGTCCATGATGGCAAAACCTACGTGAAGGGGGCCCAGAAACTTCGAGTGGGCTTCCTGAAGCCCAAGGTGAAAGATAGCAGTCGGGCCACTAATGTCTCTAACTCAGCCACCCCTGACAAGATGAAATTTCAATGGATTCGAGTAAAACGCACCCACGTCCCCAAGGGTTGGATCAAAGGGAATGCCAATGACATTGGAATGGATTATGACTATGCTCTTTTAGAGCTCAAAAAACCCCACAAGAGAAAATTCATGAAGATTGGGGTGAGCCCTCCTGCCAAGCACCTGCCTGGAGGCCGAATCCATTTCTCTGGCTATGACAATGACCGGCCAGGAAATCTGGTATACCGCTTCTGTGATGTCAAAGACGAGACATATGACCTCCTCTACCAGCAGTGTGATGCCCAGCCTGGGGCGAGTGGGTCAGGAGTGTATGTGAGGATGTGGAAGAGACAGCAGCAGAAATGGGAGCGCAAAATTATTGGGATCTTTTCAGGACACCAGTGGGTGGACATGAATGGCTCGCCACAGGAATTCAATGTAGCCGTTCGCATCACCCCCCTTAAATACGCACAGATTTGCTATTGGATTAAAGGAAACTATGTGGATTGTAGGGAGGGGTGAGAAGAATGTTTCTGCCAAGCAGCACATAATGGTCTTCATTGTACTTATTTTTAGGAAAGGCCAAACTTTGTCATTAGAGTGTCTGTGAGTGTATGTGTGTGTGTGTGCACGTGTGCTTGTGTTTGCACATGTGAGTGTGTGTGTACGTGGGTGTGGCTATGTGATATCTGTGTGGATATCTATGTATATGTGTGCATGTGTACATGTGTTTGCCTAGAGTTCGTATTGTAGTGTTTCTCTTAAATCCCTAAAATCACAAGATGGCTGGCTTTACTGTTTGAAAGCTAATTTGTGTATTTCATCATGTGAGCAATTCAAAGACATATCTTTGATAGAAATAAAGGTATAGGGTTTTGGGGGTTTTTTTTTCAGTTCATGTGCTAAATTTATCTAAGTTTTCCAAAGACTCTGGGTTTGATCCATCTAGACTTTCATTGTTTATATTAAATACGTAGCACAAGCAGACATAAATTCATGCAAGTGTGTATCCCACCTACATTATGTCATTGGAAGCATGTTAGGTCCAGTCCTCTAATGGTACCAGTTCATTCTCAGCCTCCCTAATGAGTGCAAGGGCTAGAGGAGGATGCAGTGATGGCATGTTAAACTTGAGGCATTCTGTTTTAGTCCTTAGAGGAATGAAAAGGCAAAAAATATTGTGCACATGCCGTATTTATACATACTATCAAATATTATTTAATAAAAACTAGGATCATAGAATCGTAGATTTAGAGCTGGAAGGGGCCTCAAAGACCATCCAATTTTTTCCTCACCCCTCATTTTGCAAGTGAGGGAACATAGGCCCAAGAAGATTGAGCAATTTTCCCAAAGTCATAAAGTGAATGCTTGTCTGAGGCAAGATTTGAACCCAAGTCCTCCCTCAGACTTCTCTTTAGTTTAGAACTGGTTCCTTTTCACCTACCATAGCAGCATAGTATATGGCATTTCTCGTCTTCCTGTTACTCCAGAGCAGGCAAAGGTGTATTTGTACCACTTCATTCCGTTCTTGCCACTTAACTGTATTTTAACTAGAGCAGTGCCTCAGTGGCAATGGGCCTAGCGTATGTAGCCTAAGCTACCATTGGTTCCCAGTTGTTAGTCAGTAAGCACAAGAAGTAATTCCTGACTCTTTCCCTCTATAATCTCCTTCCCCAAAAAGATTACTATCCAGAACTACCGTCGAATCATTTGAAGTTAATTAAATACCAAGAAACAATAGGAGCGGTGCTAGACAGACATTGTAGCCAAAATAATGCCTTATTTGGGGATGGGCATATGGACTCACTGAACAGAAATTATCCTTCTTAGATAAATTTCTGTGCTTCACAGGGATTGTATTTGCTTAACTTGTCCCACACGTTCTTTATTTCCTGACCTTTATGGTGAAAACTTTTGGATGGTACATCAGGAAAGTACACACAGTAGGACTTTTAATCCAGTTCTAAAAGAGTCTCTTTTATCAAGGTGCCCTGGGACATGGACCATATAGATAATTTTTTTTTAAGTGAGGGAATCCAAGGTAGATCAGGTTAATGCAATAACTAATGCTTTAAGATATAATTAACCACTATATGTAATTGAGAGACTTTGATTTCTATTTTCTATTTACATTTTTTGGCTGTCAGCTGCCACAGCTACCACCCGAGCATTTCATGAATATATGGCAGTGAAGAAAGAAAAAGCTAAGGAGTTAAATATTGATAGTCCTTCTACTTGCCCCTCAGGATGTCATTCCAATGGGTTTTATTGTTATTTGTGAGCACATTCAAATACATCACTGTTGTTACATTTTCTGTATTCCTTTTTCTTTCTTTTCCCTCCCACCTTCTTTCTTTCTTTCCAGGAAGCCAAATCTGTTATCAATAACTGACCCAACAGGCATTCACCCTGTGCCTGCCAAAGGCCCTGAAAATTATAGTGAAGTGATGCTTTCTCCAGGTAGATTGCCAGACACGCAGTTTGTGCAGAAAGAAGTAGAGTGGCCTCCCTCCAGACCTGCTGGGGCCCCCACACAACTCTAAGCTCAAGTGCCTGACAGTGTTACTGAGGATGCCTTTGCACTGGCTCAGGAAGATTGTTCCACACCCAGCCTGACACTAATGTTATAAAGAGGGTCTCCTTCTATGAAGTGCCATATACATTCGTTTCACCTTCTTGCAAAGTGGAAACTTCTGAAGCAATGCAATAAGTCAAAAATAATAATCAACTTTTAGATTGCAGTGAATTTACTATGAAATGGGGGCACTCAGGAGGTAGTATGATATAGAGGGGAAAATGTTGCACTTGGAGCCAGGGACATGGCTTTGAATCTCAGCTGTGTGACCTTGGACATATCACTTAACCTGCCTAGCTTTTAGTTTCTTCCTCTGTAAGAGAAGGGTGTTAGAAGGCTTTTGAGGTCCCTTCCAGCTCTAAATCTATGAGCCTACAATCCTAGTACAGGGGTTAATATAACTAGGTCATAGGCTTTTAAGATAAATCTGAAAAGTAAGATTGGTTGTAAATATTTTCAATGACAGTAAAGGCATATAGCTACACCTGTCCTTTAAGGGTAGAAGGGTGGTGCCCTCCACTCAATGATAAACATTCTCACACTTGGTCATACCCTTCACTTCCCAGTGACTCTGAACTCCTGTAGATCATCATACAAACCCCATTCCACACCCCTTACCACCCCATTCCTCATTCCCCTCCCCCTCAACCCTTCTACTACATTTCATTCTAACTCCCCCATCACCTCCACTGTGCCCTCCGGAATGCCTATTTCATTAGCAACAAATTTCCCTTGATCTTAAATATATTCCTTTCCCATTCCTTCCATCTACTAGCTCTCACTGAAACTTGCCTTCCCCAATGACATATCCTCCCTGGTCATTCTTTCCAGTATTGGCTGAAACTTCACTCATTCTCCTCAACTCACTGGTTGAGACAGGGGAGTTGAAATACTCCTTTTTCCTCATTGCCACATCTAGGTTCTCCCTGTTCCTCCATTACTCAGTAACTTCTCTTCCTTTGAGGTTCATTCTATTCATATCTATCACTCAATAAAAATCCTGGCTATTTGTTGTCTACAGACCCTTCACCCCAACCAGGCCATTCCCCTTCCTTCCTCAATACCTAGCTTACAATTTTTCTTTCCTTTCCAACCCTTGCTGTCATACTGGAGGACTTCAGTATATTATTGATTCTCCCTCTAACACACTAACCACTCTGTTCCTCAAACTACTTACCTACAAAGAGCTACTCCTGCACTCCACCTGAGTCACACACAAAGACGGTCATACCCTTGATCTTGCCATCGCCCACAAGTGTACCACCTCCACCAAATTCCCTTATTCAACCATCGATTGGCTTTTCACCTCTCCCTCTGCCTTCCCTTACATAACTCTACTCTTTATTTGCACTATGACCTCTGATTCCTGGACTCCCCAATTCTCTCCCAGGCCATCTCTCCTGCACTAGCCATTGTCTCCTCTTCTCCCCATCTTGACTCCTTGATGAACCAATTCATCCCTATACTGTCCTCTTCTCTTGAATCCCAACTCCCCTTATCACCAATTATGGCCAGCTGAGCCTCAGTCTTGGCTCACTCCCACCATTTGTGGCCTTTACTCCTAACAAACGCTGAAGGAAGATGGAGAAAATCACACAACTGTTCTGACTGGGTCCACTACAAATTTGTTCCGTAACCTCAACTGGGCCCTCCCTGCTGCTAGGAAATCCTACTATATGTCTCTTATCAACTCCCCCTCCCGTGCTCCACAGTAGCTTTCTCAAACCTTTTCATCTCTCCTCAAACCGTCCCATTGCTCTTCCTCCCCAAATCTCTCAGCTGAGAACCTTGCTTCATGTTTTACAGAAAAAAAAATGAGGCCATTCACCTTGAACTCCTTCTTCTCCCCACATCACTCAGGTGTCTTCTGCCACGTTGTCTTCCTTCACCCCCTATTTCCCATAATGAAGTGGCCTTACTTCTTACCAACACTAACTCCTCTACTTGTTTAGGTGATTCCATTCCATCCCATCTTTTCCAACAGATTGCCCCCTGTGCCATCCCCCCTCTTTCATTTATGTTCAATCTCTCCCTCTCTACTGGCTCATGTCCTACTGTCTACAAACATGGCCATATCTCCTGTGTCCTGAAAAAAACCCTGACTTGATCCTTCCACTCTTGCTAATTATTACCCTATATCTCTCTTGCCTTGTGTAGCTAAACTCCTCGAAAAGGCCATCTATAGTAGGTGCCTCTACTATCTTTCTCCTCTCACTCTCTTCTTGACCTCTCACAATCTAGCTTCCCACCTTATCATTCTACTAAAACTGCTCTCTGGAAAGTTGGTAATGACCTCTTAGTTGTCAAATCCAATGGCCTTTTCTCAGTCCTCATTCCTCTTGACTTCTCTACAGCCTGTGACACTGTTGATCACATTCTCCTCCTCTCTTCTCTCTCTGGGTTTTTGGGACTCAATTCTCTCTTGGTGTTCCTCCTACCTATCTGATTGCTCCTCTGTCTCCTTGGCTGGATCTTCTTGCAGATTGCACCTCCTAACCATAGGTGTCCCTCAGGGCTCGGTGCTGGGTCATCTTCTCTTCACCCTCCCTACTACTTCACTTAGTGATCTCATTGGCTCCCATGGATTTAATTACCATCTCTTTGCTAATGATTCTCAAATCTATCTTTCCTGCCACAATCTTTCTGCTGACATCTAATATTGCATCTCCAACTATCTTTCAGACATCTTGAATTGGAGGTCCAGTAAACTCTGCCCCTTCCTACCTTCCCTATCACTGAGGAGAGCACCACTAGTCCCTCCAAGTCTATCAGGTTCACAACCTAGGGGTCATCCTAGATTATTCACTGTCTCTCGTGTTCCCCCACCCCATACCCAAGCTGTTGCCAAGACCTGCCAATTTCACCTTTGCAACATCTCTGAAACACGCCTACTTTAGTCCTCTGACATGACCACCACTCTCTTGCAGACCTTCATCACCTCATGTCTGGATTACTGCAATATCCTGCTGGTGGGTTTCTCCCCATTCCAATTCATCCTCTATTCATCCACTAAATCAATTGTCCTAAAACACAGATCTATCTAATCATGTCTCACACACACACACACCCCATTCAATAAACTCCAGTGGCATCCAGGAGTAAGTACGAAATATTCTGTTTGGCATTCAAAGTCCTAGTACTGGAGTCAGGAAGACTCAAATGCAGCCTCAGATATTTCCTAGATGTGGGATGCTGGGCAAATCACTTAATCTCTGTTTGCTTCAATTTTCTTCTCTGTAAAAGGAGGATAATAATTGCACTTACCTCCCCAGGCTGTTTTGAGGATCAAATGAGATAACATTTATAAAGCACTTTGCAAACCTTAAATCATTTCATATATGCTAGCTCTTTATTTATTTATACTTGACATGAACAAAGAGGTCTCAGAAGAAAAATTGCAAACTTAATAACCATATGAAAGACTATTCCAAATCAAAACAACCTTGAGGTTTTACCTTATACCCAGAAAATTGGCATCAATACAATTTTGAAGATATTTAAATTAAAAATAATAATGTGTGGTGGTATTGTTGTGTGCTGGTAAATGTTTAATAACCTGCCCTCGGTGTGTGTGTGGGGGGGAATATATGGAAGACATACTTTAAAGTTTAACATGAATTCTTACCATCCTCTCCAGCACTTCCTTAAGTCTAGACAATCAGCAAAGTAATAAATCAAGCCCTGATTTGTAGCATTTGCTGATTTCCCACATCCAAATGCTCACACTAATAATTTAGCAATCACCTATCTGGAATCCAGAGGAGTTGCCTCAAACCTACCCCCCCTCCCCCAATTGAGAGGCGGCAATGAATCAGTTGAACAAACACTGACTGAGGCAGGGGAGAAGGTCGGGAAATTCTCCTTCTGACTTTGACAACTATTAACTGACTTTAAGCAAGTCACTTCATTTCTGTTTCTCATCTATGAGTTTGTAATTTGTGCTGATTCTAAGGATTATTCTTCCCACTAAGACCAATATACTTAGGAGAAGGTAGAATCCTAGGTAGACTGCCTCGAGATGATGTTGATGCACATGGGAAAGAAGAAAACCAAATTCATGTAATAAAGCATTCTAAGCTCGGACAAGTGAATATCGGTTACATCCCAAAAGAGAGAGGCTCTAAGTCACAGCATTAGTGTTTCCAGGCCTGACCCCTTCTCTCAGGAGTGATTACAATGTGACTGTGAATTCAGAATGAATACAGAGAGTACATAGAATTCCTTATCTCTTCTGTCAATTTTTGATCCTTCCTGAGAGAATGGCAGAGACATGCCTATAAAAGCCTGTGGTGAGCTCAGCTTGCTTGGGGGTGGCATGGTTTATCATTGCTTTATTTTATATCATTGCTCTGGCCCTCACTCAGGCATAAAGCTGCTACTGAGCTGCTATTCGGTCAACATCCTGTCCACCAATGAGAATGCAAATGCATTTTTATGCAAATGCACCAGTCTTGAACTCCAGGTTGCACCTATATTTATTTGTAAATTTGTTGTTTTTAATACAGGTAGATATACTCCTCTGTCCTGTTAGAATATAAGCATTCTTGAGGACAAGAATTATTTCACTTTTATCCTCGCATCCCAACACCTATCTCCATGCCTAGCATGTAGAATTCTTTGGTAAATCCTTGTTGACTGATCTGAACCAAATGTTCAGGGTGTTTGTGGCCAGAGACCCAGTGAGCTGATGCCTGACTGTCTGCTTGGGGTATGATTTGAGAGACTTTTGAAGGGC